GCTAGAAAATAAGAATACATACTCAGACAAACTTCTAGGTAGAGGCTCAGACTCATCTACTTGATTACATTTGAGCTTTTGTGAAACTCTCCATACTTTCCCATCACGCCAGACAGATTCACTGAAGAAAAAGAGACTCCATTTTCAGAATCAAATGGATCATAAAATGAAATGAACAGTGAACAGAAGATTTTTTTCTTATTGGAAATAGAAACACATTTTAAGAACTCACCAATGAACTCTGAGTGGCATTTGATGGGATCATACCATTGCATGGTAAGAGAAAAAAGAACATCTTGGCAATTGGCATATACTGCAGGCACATATGTTTGAAGACAATTTCTTGGCATGTTTTCCCATTTAGCTACATACCCAAAATCAGTCCACCAAAGAAAAGAGAACTGAAATATCATCTTCACATTCTTTGTCTTCTCCTACAGCATATCAAGACTAGTTAGCCCAAGCATTGAAAACTGAGAGTTGTATACCAAAAACTTGCTATTCTATCAAGCGCAGATATATATTTACGAAGGAAGAAGTCAAACCTAGACAAATTTCAGTTTAGAGCTTGACGGAGGATCCAATATCCTTCTTGACTAACTCGACTACATTTGCTAATCCCATGTAACTTGAAACCTTGTTAGGCAAAGACAGATATGTACACTAGTCAACTTGCATGTCAAATTTTGTCAGCATCTGACTGATATGGACCCGATAACTAAGCTGATTTTTGTGGGAACCATCAACTCAAGGAGAAAAAAGAATCAATTGTGAGAAATCACTTGAAAGGACCTTGAAATAAAGAGCTAAAAGACACTTTAACAATATATAAGGTGCATTAAATTTTCTCTCAATACAGAAAGTGCAAACTCTTACCTTAATTCTGCAAGTCCTTGACTCCACCATGTCTGTCTTTGTTGGGAATGGGAACATTTGTACAAAAATAATGTCTTATATATGTTGACTGCATAATAAACAAGAAGGAAACTCTTTTAAGCAGTGTTTCAGATAATGAATCATCAAGAATGATTATTTATTCCATTTACCAACATCAATAGAGAGCTATATGTCAAATGTATCTCTAAATCTCAGTTCTTCACTGTTTGAATTTTGGGCCTCCATAGAAAACTAAATAAAAAATGTTGAAATGCACAAATTAATTTATCAATAAATTAAGAGCCATGCAATGAGCAAAAAATGTATAATGAACAAAAGTTTTGTTTTGGAAAAATAAGCATAGAAAGGAATTTCGGGACTTACTACCTGTGCAAGACCTTATGGGAGTGTCTTTGAATCAGAGATATGATTTAAGAAAATGCCAAAGATTTTTCATTAGGTGGCAATTTTAACAGAAAACACAATTGGAACAAAGTGATTACCTACTACATCTACGAAACCTGAACTTCCTAGTTGTTTGTCACTACATTTGAGAAAATTATAAGCATGAATCAATGAATTGAGCTTTGATTAATTAAACTTACCTCAGGCATATTGGAGTCTGCAAATCCATTCTGATGTTGATGTTGGGATGAGGAATGAGGGATAAGCTTGCCATGTGCAGCATTGCTATCAAGGTGGAGTGTTAAAGCCAATAAAGAATGGCAGAATGCTAAAATAAGCAACTTTGCTCCATTGTCCCATGTCTATTAGATTAGATACCAGTTTCCTAACCTTTAATGAGTGCTTACAAATAAATAGATATATTTTGGTCAAGTACTGGTCATTAATTCAACAAGCACAATGTCTTAGCCACTGACACCATGTTCTCTTAACAAGACTGAAGTACAAAAGCAATCAGCAGTATGATCAACACCTGGTGTCTTCTTCTTCCTTTCTCGTTCAACTTGACATCTTCCCTGCCATAGTTCAGGCTTCAGAGGTGAAATATAAAGCAAAATAAATGAAATAGCATAAAAATTTAAACCAACCATGCCACTGTTACTTAAGTAAAGAACATGGTATTTCTTATAATACAAAGGCAAGTGGTTGGAACACAGGATGATTTGCATCAAATTCAACAACAAAAGCAAAGTACAGACATACATTGTCACTCAAGAGACTAGTAGTAACACTGAATATTTTCATCTATCAATCCTGTTCAGTTAGTTGTTTTTTTTTTTTTAGAAGTTCAGTTAGTTTGATTTTATTAATAAGTTTAGGAAGATAAGTGGAGAAACAAAATGCAATCCTCAATGGCTTAATGAGTTGAATATCATAATCTTGTTATCATCAGAGAGACCAACAGTCTATCCAAACAAAATTGAAAATGAAATCTTTTTTCGTTATTGTTGAAGTTGTACAAAGAAGTTAAAAGATTAATCAGAAGGATCACACAAGTAAAATCTTTAACAGACATACTTCGATCAAGATTTCAAATTCATCAAAGCAAGAAAAGTCCCATGCCCACAAATTTTCTAAAAGAAAATAGATGAACAAAATTGAGTTAAACAAGGAAATTAATCAGACAAAAAAATAAATTATAATCAAAATCCAAAAACAGTATTATGGAAATACATATATATATATATGTATGTACCTTAAAAAACGAAGGCTTGTAGTAATTACTCCTGCTGCTGGGCTCTCACACCCTCAAGCTTTACACTTTCATGTGTTTAGATGCATCAGACATAACTTGTAAGAATTACACTCAGTGTGTTTTTATGCCAAAATATAAAAGCTATTAAATTTAAAAAACATTAATATACAGTATAGAATTTGAAGATTTGCTAGCTTCTATGAGCTCTGAGCGGCCCAATCACAGTCACAACTCTCAACCCTGCATGAATAACCAAGTTAAGTTTCATCAAACATGCAAGTGTATGTTATGAATCCATTATATCCAACAGTTTAGGTTTTAGAAATTAAGCATACCTCAATCTCTTATTTAGACTGCTACTGCAGGGACCCACCTTATATTCTCAAGCAGGGGATGTGGGAAATCTTGGCCCATTCGGGGCCGCTCTCTTTGGCGCATCTTTCTTCTAACTTCGGACAATTCAAAATGTGAAGTTCTTGTAAGTTGGAGAGGCGTCGCACGGCTTCAATAGAAGGCATATGAGTCAAATTAGAGCAATTCTTAATCTTCAGCCTGCGAAGAGAAGAGAGGTCTCCCAACCACTCTGGCAAATCTTCCAGGCCATTGAAGTCCCATAAGGTTAATTTCGTGAGGGCAGTGAGATGTTGAAGCTGATGTGGCAGAGACTTTAATTTATCCCATCCATTCAATTCCAATACTTCAAGGGAGGTGTGGAGTTGATGAATGTAGGTTAGTCCAGAAAGTTCCTCCAACTCCGACCAGAAACCACCCATCTGTAACTGCTTCAAGCAGGTGAGTCTACCCACGCACTCCTCTGGAATGCTCCTTAGCTTTCCACAATTACGGATCTCTAGTTGACTGAGTGAATGTAATTCCCCAATCTCCTCAGTAATTGAAATTATATTATGACAATTCCATATTGCCATACTCTGAAGAGAAGTGCATGATCCAAGCCCAATCGGCAGGCTCATTAATTCATCACAATCAGAAAGCTGAAGGCTTGTCAGAGATGTGAGCCCATTTATACTTGGAATTGAAGACAGTTTTTTGCATCCAGAAATGGTCAACTTCTGAAGAGAAGTGCAGGATCCCAATCCACTTGATAGACTCATTAATTCATCACAATCAGAAAGCTCAAGGCATGTAAGAGATGTGAGCCCATTTATACTTGGAATGTAAGACAGTTTTTTGCATCCAGAAATGGTCAACTCCTGAAGAGAAGTGCAGGATCCCAATCCACTTGGTAGACTCATTAATTCATCACAATCAGAAAGCTCAAGGCTTGTAAGAGACGTGAGCCCATTTATACTTGGAATGGAAGAAAATTTTCTGCATGTAGAAATGGTCAACGCCTGAAGAGAAGTGCGGGATCCCAATCCACTTGGTAGACTCATTAATTCATCACAATCAAAAAGCTGAAGGCTTGTTAGAGATGTGAGCCCATTTATACTTGGAATTGAAGACAGTTTTTTGCATCCATAAATGTTTAACTCCTGAAGAGAAGTGCAGGATCCCAATTCACTTGGTAAACTCATTAATTCATCACAATAATCAAGACTAAGGATTGTAAGAGATGTGAGCCCATTTATACTTCGAATGGAAGTTAGTTTTTTGCATCCAGAAATGGTCAACTTCTGAAGAGAAGTGCAGGATCCCAATCCACTTGGTAGACTCATTAATTCATCACAATAAGAAAGGTCAAGGCTTGTAAGAGATGTGAGCCCATTTATACTTGGAATTGAAGATAGTGCTTTGCATCTACAAATGAACAACTTCTGAAGAGAAGTGCAGGATCCCAATCCACTTGGTAGACTCATTAATTCATCACAATCAGAAAGCTGAAGGCTTGTCAGAGATGTGAGCCCATTTATACTTGGAATTGAAGACAGTTTTTTGCATCTAGAAATGGTCAACTCCTGAAGAGAAGTGCAGGATCCCAATTCACTTGGTAAACTCATTAATTCATCACAATTATAAAGCTCAAGGCTTGTTAGAGATGTGAGCCCATTTATACTTGGAATGGAAGACAGTTTTTTGCATCTAGAAATGGTCAACTCCTGAAGAGAAGTGCAGGATCCCAATCCACTTGGTAGACTCATTAATTCATCACAATTAGAAAGCTGAAGGCTTGTAAGAGATATGAGCCCATCCATACTTGGTATAACAATTAGTTTGTCACATCCACTTATTCTCAAAGAAGACAGCTTATGATTAGATGAAAATCCATCCATCGACCAAGTCTTCAACTCAGGACAATCCTCAATGTACAACCTCTCAAGACAAGGAAACACAGTCACACCTTTTACTTCTACCCATTCCTCAAGGCTATCCATACATGCAACACTGAATTCTCTTAAAGCTGGGAATTGTGTAGCGGATCCCACTCCATCATCACTGTTGCTTTGATCCACATAGAACCTGCTACCCATGCTTTTTACCTTCTCCATCCCCTTAATTTCAAGAAACTGTAGATTACATAATAGACCAAGGCTCGAAAGATATAAGCATTCCTTGCAATACTGTAGCTCCAACTTCGTTAAGTTGTTGAGTGAACTATTGACACCACCTTGCATCCATGATGGGAAGTTCTTTCCTTGGTAATGCCAAACAACTAAGCTCTTCAAATGTGGGTGAGGTTGAAGACCTTCTAGGACCTCTTCATCGTTGGTGTTGTTGTTGGCTTCTCTCTCTTCACTCCATGTAAATTCCAACCCTTGCAATTTTTCCTTCTCTTTTAATTTTGCTTTAGAGGCTTCTGATTTGGATCCTACATCTTCAAGTTTCTGAATGGCCAATTCCCCACGCAGTTGGCTTAAGCATCCAAGTTCTTCAATTCTACATCCCTTTTCTCTTCCCACAACAAATAGTGGTAATGTTTGAAGGGAAGTCAAGTGCCCAATCTCTTTTGGCATATTCTTTTCACTACTGAAATAAAGATGCCTCAAGCTAACAAAATTTCTCATGTCATCAGGGACCTTCTCAAGATGATCGCACCACATGAGCTTTAAAGTTTGCAAGTTGTAGAGTTTAGAGAATGATTTTGGTAGTACTTTAATTTGATTGGTTGAGATATCAAGGTACCTCAAATGCTTCATTTTGCCAAGAGAAATTGATAGATCTTCTTCTCTGCAAGCTCTCAACATTGTAAGAGATCGCAAGCTTTTAAGATCTGAAGCAATGTTGTGGGAAACATACTTCGCATCTAAGAATAAAGAATGCAACTTTTGAGAAACTCCTCTTGGAAGCACTCCCCCATTAGACTTGACCCTCAAATGCCGAATTTTAGAATTTTCATCAATGGAACTAGTCTGATCCCAAATCAATGTTTCACCATTAGAGATAGACAATGCAAGATCGTGCACCGCATCATGCATCTTACAAGATTCCACATTCCCCATTGCATTCCTTTTTATATCTTGAAACAACGAATTGGATAACAAATTATCAAAGTACTGATCACCAATATCCTCCATTGTCAAATTGCTTTTATCATTAGGTGGGTGCAGGAATCCTTCTGCCATCCAGAGCTGAACTAATTCATCTTTATTCATAATAGCATCCTTTTCAAAAATTGAACAAAAAGCAAAACATTTCTTTAGAGGCCCAGACAAATGGTCATAGCTTATCTTTAGAATTGATGCAATATTTTGATCGTCTAATAAGTTCCATGCATCGTTATTCTTGATAGCCAACCACTCTTCTACTCCAAACTTGTGACCCATTGTTCCTCCCAATACACTTGCAACCAATGGCAAGCCCTTGCATTTTCTTGCAATAGCTAGCCCAATTTCTTTTAAATTAGCATCTTCTATTCTTCTTGCCAATCTATGCACTTTCTCCTCAATTATAGACCAGCATTCATCATTTGATAACCCTTTCATTTCATGCTTATGCATAGGAAGCACATGACACACAGGAGCCGTCTCTATTGCAGATACTACTCCATAACTGCGAGTTGTTACAATAATAGAGTTTCCAGTGGTTTTCACAATTTTGGACAAGCGATCAAGGAAGTTACCCCACTCGACAGATTTTTCATTCCACACATCATCAAGAACGAGAAGGAAGGTTTTCTTTTCCAACTCATTTTCAAGATGGTGAAGTATTGCACCAATTTTGTTTATTCCCCCTGCCTTGTTATTAAGATATTGCAACATGCCTCCTAAAATGTCCTCTTCATCAAAATGATCAGAAACACAAACCCATGCTACTTTATCATAAAGCTTTCTTTCTTCTACTTCTTTGAACACTGATTTTGCCAAAGTTGTCTTTCCAACGCCAGCCATGCCTACTATAGAAGCAACAGACATGGAATGCTGACTCCTAAGTTTACTTAGCTGGCTTATTATTTCAGAAACATCGTCACTTCTTCCAATTGGGTTTGAATCAAGGAGGGAATCTGTTTTGCGGATGGGACTAACACGCAGAGTTGATTTGCCTTTATTCAACTTAAGAAACACTTCATCTCCTTTTATTTTAGCTAGAGACTCATTAATTTTCTTAATCTTATTAGCCATTTTGCAACGAAACACGATTGGATTAGAGCGAGAAAAAAACCGATACACCTGTTTCTTCTTTTGGCCTTGAGTCTCTACTTTCAGCTGGAGAAGATGATAAGCATACTCGTCCAATACATCCATTGCATCATAGGCTGCATCCTCCAGCTTTTGCAACCAACGCCTTATAACAACATCACCTTGTTTATTCTCCGCATCTTGGAGAACTTCTTGAATCATAACTAGTGAATCCTTGAGGCTCACAACCTCCTTCTCGTAACCCCATGCAAGGCAAATTTGTTTAGTTGCAAAGGAAATTGCCTTAGAAACTGCCTGCTCAATAACAGGACAAAGGATGGTTTCTGCCATTCTACTTTGGCGTTGAGAAATCCTGGCTGCAGATGCACAAATGAAATTATGAAACAAGAAAATGACGTGATCCTAATACCAACTGCTACCTATTTTAAATAAAACAACAAAACCACAATTGCCTTTTCACATTATGGCTTGGAGTTTAAAGCTTGTTACAAGGTGTTGAAAAGGAACATCATCAAGTATCAGAAAAGGAGTGAGGAACAACATTTCTACCACCACTCCATAGTTGTTGCCTAAACTCAATTTCAATTATAACTGTCTATAATATGTACTTACTGTGCTTTAGCTCATGATATCAACTACTATTCTTTACATATTAGCCCGAAGCCTAGAGTAGAGGAGTGCTTTTGGCCTAGGAGTGTATGCCCTGGTGCCTAAGACTTGGTAAGACAAACTCGTTCTCTACCCATAACTTCTAAGGCCTAATTGTTTTGGCCAGTTTTCTAAGGCATGTACATGTTAAGGTTAAACTGCATTAGGAGTTTAGGATCTGATGTAGAAACTACCATTTACATTTTGATATATATTTTGCAATGAACACTTCTACTGAGCTAGACAATATGGATTTAAACTATGCATATAGTTTCTAAGCCAAATATCCAAGTTGATTTGATAGAAAATTCCTATCTATATTCTTTAAAATACCAAGTTCTCTTTAAAGGTTTAAACTCCATCTGCTAGCCTTAAAACCTTTTAACAAATGAGTTTCAACCTATGTCTTCACCCAAAGCATTAGCCATGGTCCATAGACTCCATACTTAGCCACTTCTAAAGATGGCACGAGCAGGACTCTTGACACTTTGGTTTAAGCATATGAAAGCTTTTAAACCAAAGTCAAAAAAAATGAGAAAAAAAGTGTTGGTGAGAACGCTTAGCAGAGATGACCAGATACACCCAACAGGACATATTTATGATGTCTCTCTAGTGTGAATGTCTCACTGCATTGCTTTCTCTTTCTTCTGTTTTTCTATGCTTAACTTTTCTTTTTCACTTTTAATAAAGAAAATTGAAGAAGGTTCTCATCATATTTATTTTAGATAGGGTAGCTTAATTGTTTAGGGAATTTTTTTCACTTTGTGCTTTACCTTATTTTAATCTTTTATTTATGATTAGAGTGTACTGAATCAATTTTTATATATTTTAAGATTAATTTCTCTTTATGTAATTTTAGGAACACACATCTTACATTGACCTAATGCATTCAATAAAGTTAATTTCCTTAAGTGCTAAGCGTAAGTCTTAAAGCACTAAATCCAATTTATAAAATGGCATCTAGATCAAACTATTGGGGTTTGGGCTTTACTTTATGTCTTAAAAAAAAAAAAAAATTGTATGAATTACATTGAACTAAGAAAATATAAATTATCTGACATGAGAATTGCTCTCCTCATCTAATAATTTTTATTATCATCTAACACAATTTAAATTGTAAAACAAAAAACTCTTTGCAAGGCAAAGAAACATCCATGGTAGAAGAGTATAAGCATAAATCTCAAATATTATACTTTGACTTTTTAAAATTTAAATTCAATTATGCTTTACCACATTATAATATTATTAAAATCTTTAACAAATATTACTTTTAGTGATCCTAATTTAACTTTTTGACTTTTCAAATATAGATTTTATAAAAAAATTAATATATTATATAAATGATAATTGAAATTTTTTATCAAATAAAAATACTCAACAAAAACTACATATAAGAAAAAAATTAATTGTTGTTCATATAAATTGTTAAATTTTCATCTAAAATTTATATCAAAAAGTGAAAAAATCAAATTAGAACTATTAAAAATGAACAAAAAGAATAAATAAATACTCAATGAACTTTTTAAGAATCTTAAATAAATAGCGAATGAATACCCAATGGCTTTTTAAAATAAAAACTCAATTATGTTTTATTATATTATAAAAATTGTTCAAATCTTCAATAAATCTCAAATAAATACACAATAATCCTTTTAAAATATTTCAATAAATACTAAATAAATACCCAATTAGCCTTTTAAATTCTTAATTAAATACACAATGGATCTTTTAAAATCCAAATACAATTATACCTTACCATACTATAAAAATTATTAAAACTTTCAATAAATCACAAATAAATACCCAATAAACCTTTTAAAATCCCTTTAAAATATCAAATAAATATTCAATTGTTATTTTAAAATCTTCAATAAATAATTATAAATTTAATTATCAATACATCAATTTGATTTTACAAATTAATTCGGCAAAAAATATAATGAACCCAATGCCTTCCTTTTTCATCCTTCATATCCAAATTGGTTCCCCAACTTTAATTACAAAATAGTTCAAATTCAAATTCAATTATAATTTACTATATTGTAAAAATTATTAAAATTTTTAGTAAATCCTAATAAATAGCAAATGGGTTTTTTAAAATCTCTTTAAAATCTCAAATAAATAACAAATAGACCTCTTTAAAAAGATTCATTAGAAAGTTAGAACTCAATTAAATTAAATTAATACACTTTCAAATTTTCTAATGAGAACAATACATATAATTCCTTATTAAATTAATTCTTTATGTAATAATACTTAATAATGCTCTGATCATATCAAATTTCTTACTAATTGTTCTCAAATTCCATTTCAATTACCATATAACAATCTAACATCTACATCTTTATATTATTAAAGTTGTAAACAACTTACCCAAATATGTTTTATGACTTCTACTTCAATTATATAATGTGGTTAGCATAAATACACAGTATATTATTTTTAAAGTGGCATTTTGTAGATTGATTCCTTTTCACAATTATTTTGGGACTAGAAAAATAATGATTAAACTGTAATTAATTTTGAATAAATGTATTTCTTAAAAATAATTTTTAAATATCAAGAATTATGAATAGCTACATATTGTAATACTAAAATTGATTTGCATAAACTTGATAATGACTATATTAACTTGAAAAACTAATTTGAAAACTATATAATGAGGTTTAAACAAACCACTTAAATATAAGTCAGAAGTATCAGTACTTAAAAGAAACTTGAGAATAAAGAAAAAGCTTCCGCAAGGAACTTAAAAATGTTTTAAACATTCTCTTTATCAAAAATTTAAACTATCAAAAAATTATAAAAACAGTGAAGTAAAATCACTTAAAAGCTTTTAATAAACTCATTAAGACAAAAGTTTAAATAATTTTAATATACATACACAGAGAGAGAACGAAATTGATATACAATAATTAATAAAGATGTAGGAAGTGATTAAAAAAGAATAATATTGAGAAAATAAGGATAAAGGTAGAAGGAATAATAAAAACTAAATTATGTGCATCAAAAAAAAAAATTATTAAATATAAGAAGAAAATAAAGATGAATGTATCATACATAAATAAATATAATGATAAAATGTGAAAAAATAAGTTAAAAAATAAAATTGCAAGAAAAATTAATAAAACATGTAGTATAAGTTGTTATAACTCAAATTTTTACCTAAAATTTTTATCTCCATTTTTCTAGAATTAGTAATAATCTCGACGACTATTTGCTAAATTCAAATATTTTCAAAATGTATTAGTTTTTACTCCCAAAATTAATTCCTCACCGCCTTTTAAGTTTAAAACAAAAAATTATACGTGGTTAAACTTTCATTTAATATGGGGAATTGTTGGACAAAAATAAAAATTAATGTGGGGAATTAATATGAAAAATTGCCAAAAAGAAATGGAGACTTATTCGAATTTATTGACAGTATGTATGTACTCAACTGAAAATATTTTAATGGGGGATTTGTTTGCACTTTGCAGGGACCTAATGGAGAAGCGAAGCAAATTTAAGGACTAAAACGTCATTTAGGTGGAACTTGAAGATTTAAGTGCAAAAGTCGGCCAAAACTACGTCATTTTGGTCGAAACCTACCACGAAAAATAGAAGGCGTCGGACTCGAGATCGCAGAGAGTAGGTCGGGGAATCTGACCGATTCCTCCCTTTCCTCCCCTAATCCATCTCTTCCCATCAGGTCGGGAACCCGTCGATCCCATCAGGTCACAAGCTTGTAGCTACTTGCAGGCTGCAGGGAATCTAGGGTGGTGAAGGTGGGCGGCAAGGTTAGCTGAGAAGTGGTTGAGATCGAGGGAAAGTAACCGGATGGCTGGGGCTGTGTGTGTCGCTACTCCGATTTGAGGCGGAGGGATTACAGGAGAGCAGAGGAAGCGAGAGAAAAAAAAAAAAAAAGAGGAAAAGAGCAGAGCAAAGAATCTAGGAGATCATTGTGAGTTCGGTTAGAGGAACCAAGCGCAATAGAAAGTCCGAACTTTGTTTTCGGAATCCGAACGTTACTGCAGACAAGGCGTCATCTTGTTTTGATTTATTTCATGCATATTATACCTTGATATTAAATGGGAATCTGAGTTTGCTCTTGAATTTGTTGCGAATTTATTCTGAGTTTCATTCATTTCTTACTGTGCATTGAGAATATCTTGATTTGGACATGAAATTGTGAATATTTTTCAATTGCTTTCAATGGGAATTTATGTGGATATTTTTTCTGGACAAAAGGGTATTCGACAAGGGATCCCCTTTCACCCTATCTGTTTGTGGTCTGCATGGAAGTTTTATCTAGGATGCAGAATCTCTCATCATCCTAAGTGTGAAAAGATCAAACTCACATATCTTTGTTTTGCTGATGATCTAATTTTTACTAATGGTAGTCTACCATCTATTAAAGTTGTTGTTTATGTTTTAGGCCATTTTTATCAGATTTCTGATTTGATGGTTAATTACAACAAATCAGAAATTTTCTGCTGTGGGCTATCAGTGACAGAAATACTGCAGCTGGTTGACAGAGTTGGTTTTAAGCTTGGTACCTTGCCAGTAAGGTACCTTGGAGTGCCCCTTATTACAGGAAAGCTCACATATAAGGATCTGCGGCCTTTGATTGAAAAAATCACTAACAAGCTGACTTCCTGGACAGCTGAATACCTCACTTTTGCTGGCGGACTACAGCTTATAGCTTCTGTGATACATGGCATTTCAACATTTTGGTGCTTTACTTTTATTTTGCCAAAGAAGGTTATCAAAGAAATTGAGCAAAAATTTAGTGCCTTTTGTGGAACACTCTACAACTAGTGCTAAGGGTGAAAAAGTTAATTGGACAGCTATCTGCCTTCCAAAACAAGGAGGATTAGGTCTTAAGAGCTTGGTGCAGTGGAATAAGGTCTGTATGCTGAGATTTATCTGGTTACTGTTCTCTACAGCAGGCTCTATCTGGGTTGCATGGGTTTGTGAGTATTTACTTAAGGGGAAAAGTTTCTGGGCCATTAACATGCCATCTGATGCAACCTGGGGATGGAGGAAGCTACTTAATCTCAGGGCACCAGCCAGAAAATTAATTCAACATATCCCTGGAGATGGCAAGGATATTGATATTTGGCATGACAACTGGCACCCATCTGGGCCACTGATAGAAGTTTATGGGCAGAGGATTGTTAGAGATGCAAGTATACCACCTGATGCAAAATTGTCAGTTGTGATAAGTGGTAATTACTGGTGTTGGCCTCCAGCACCGTCACCTCAGCTAGTGCAAATTCAGATTGAACTATTTGACAAGCTAGATCCTGACAAGCTATATCCTAAGGAGGGGGCAATGGATTCGGTAATTTGGATTCCTTCTGCATCTGGAAAATTCAAGACAGGGGCAACTTGGAATTGGATTAGAGAAAGGCAGGGGAAACAACAATGGCACAAGCTGATTTGGTTCCTTGACACAATTCTTAAGCACAGCTTTATAAGTTGGCTGGCTGTTCTTAACAGACTCACCACCAAAGCTCATCAAAAGCAATGGACACACGATTTGGATGATACTTGTGTTTTATGCAAAAATGAGTCCAAGACAAATGTACACATGTTCTTTAAGTGCAGCTTTTCAAAGGGCATCTGGCAGGAGCTCAGCCACATGACAGATATCCCTCTGATGGACTCATGGCAAGGTTTATTAGCTTGGTTGGGTGGGAAGGTTAGAAGGAAGTCGTTACATTGCACTGTAATCAAATTATCTTGGAATGCGGCTGTCTATCATATATGAATGGAAAGAAATAGAAGATTACGCCAGAAACAATTCAAAAGTGAGGCAGCAGTACTTGCAGCAATCCAGTTTGAAGTTAAGGGTAAGATCTTAGGATTTGCTAAGCCAGGTTCATCTCTTATACCTAGAGCTATTTCACGGAAATGGGGGCTTGATTTTGTTGTAAAATGTCAGCTAGTTTTGATCAGGTTAGTTTTTGACAGGATTAGTTTTTACATTGTGTTTACGTAGCTAGTAGCAGCTGTTAGTTTTGCTGCTTTGATGTACTCTAGTATTTTTCTGGATAAATAAAGATTTACATTTTATCCAAAAAGGAAATTGTGAAATTATCGCGTTAAAGCATTCCGTTGAGCTTGGTTTAGGCTTAGGGTCTGTTTTCCTATTTTTAGAAAATTTTCTGGAATTTTTCTTGAAATTTTTTAAGTTGTCAGAAACTGCAGAGGTAGGCCAGAATTCGGCCGGAGCACCTTCGCAAACTTACCAACCCAACTACTCTGCTGATCTCAGTTTAAAGTTACTTCATGGCTAGATGATTCTGTCTAAAAGCTTGTTGTGATCTCTCTAATGATTCTATGGCATATTTGTGAAGTAAAGCGCATGATTTAACTATCTTAGTCGTGTCTCTGCTTTCTGCTGGAATTGGTTCTACAAAAATCTACCTAGTATGTTCATCTGACCATCCGCCATGGATTTATTTAATGGACTACACTAAAATGAGAAAAGCAAAAATCGGAATGTTTTGACACTTTTAAATGTTAGGATTTATGTGAAATTGTTTAAATAGCTTTTAGTGAATCTTTTTAGTGTATTCATTTATTAATAATATTTTAATCTTTTTATTATTAGCCCTTGAAATTTTAATTGTCTAAAACATCCTAATTTTCATTAACCACAAAAGTGAATTGGGTTATGTATTAATTAGTCTATAACACGTCTACATACTGGTCTTTGGATCATGATTGCAATTATTGGTCTATAACATCTACTTATTGATGTAGCAGCTGTAACACTTATGGTTTAAACTCAAGAAATTCCCCAAAACTTTGAAACAAAAGTCGATAAGAAATGAGCGAAAGAGTTGGTCACTTACCAGATCTGAATGGCTAGCTGCACAGAAGGATAGCAAACACAAGACCAGAGAATTCTGAGAGACAAAAAGAGATCTATTGTGTTAGTGAAAATTTTGTGAAAGTTTTGAAACCAAAGATAAAAAATGAGAAAAAGAATTACTAACCAGATTTGAAAGTTTTGTTAGTCACACAGAAAGACAGCAAATATAAGAGAATGTTTCTGGGAGACAGAAGGAGATTGTATTTGTGTGCAGACTCAGCTGAGATAAACAGATATATCTATTTATTGATGTAGCACAAGATGGGCTGTAACATTTCAGGTTTAAATACAGGAAATTCCCCAAAACTTAGAAACAAAAGCCGATAAGAAATGAGCGAAAGACTTAGTCACTTAATAGATCTGAACGGCTAGCTGCAGAGACAAAAAGAGATGTATTGTGTTAGTGAAAATTTTGTGAAAGCTTTGAAACCAAAGATAAAAAATGAGAAAAAGAATTACTAACCAGATCTGTAAGTTTTATTAGTCACACAGAAAGATAGAAAATATAAGAGAATGCTTCTGGGAGACAGAAGGAGATTGTATTTGTGTGAACACTCAGCTGAGATAAACAGATATATGTACTTATTGATGTAGCACAAGATGGGCTGTAACACTTCAGGTTTAAATACAAGAAATTCCCCAAAACTTAGAAACAAAAGCCGATAAGAAATGAGAGAAAGACTTGGTCACTTAACATATCTGAATGGCTAGCTGCAGAGACAAAAAGAGATGTATTGTGTTAGTGAAAATTTTGTGAAAGCTTTGCAACCAAAGATAAAAAATGAGAAAAAGAATTACTAACCAGATCTGAAAGTTTTATTAGTCACACAGAAAGATAGCAAATATAAGAGAATGCTTCTG